GACTCTCCTCCCGCCTCCTATTGCCCCTGGGAAGTCCTCAGTCCATAACCTCAGTGGAGCTAAGGACAGAACTCCCAAGGCACCAGACAAGGGTGGCCAAGGCACATTCCCAGACTCCAGCCCAAAAGACTACCTCTGGGAGCTCTTCCCCTTAAGCTTTGGGAAGGGAACTTTTGGGTTCAGTTTATCTTTGAGTATCTTATTTGTATACTTCTGTGGCTGAGGAGAGCGGGGGCCAGCCTTCATGGTATGATCACTCCTGTCACTTCCTTCTGTAAAAGTCTGGAGTTCTCCCATTAGAGTTTTATATGTAGGATTTTAAAGGTTCTCCTGGAATCATAGAGTTTCAGGATTGGAAGAAACTGGTGTTCATCTACTCTATATCATAATGAATGAATATTATCTGCAACAGTTTTGTCAGGCAATTTTCTAGTTTCTACCTGAAGATGCCCACTTCCCAAAACAGTCACTTGCACTGTTTTTACTGTAGAAAATTCTTCCAATAAGAGATAGTCTGCTCTTCTGGAATTTCTGCCCATTGACCCTGGTTCTGCCCTTGTGCTCTATGGTCTTCCATAGAGGAGAAACACATGAAGGAGGACATCTTAAAATGTTCTTTTCCATTGTCCACAGTAATTCACTGGCAGTCACAGCAGTGAAGCCTTGGGGGAGGGGCTGGCAAGAGTCAGTCTAATGGTTCCACAAAGTATATGAATTTTGCTGTTTTTCATCTGAATATCTCTCTCAGGCATCGAGGCCATGGCACTGATGGCTTGGTCAGGGAGCCCAGGGGAGGTTTGTAACATCACAACAGAATAAAATCCTCTGAAACCCTGGAACGGGAGCACACTGCAGAGGGTATTCCATCATGGGAATGAGACCTAGGAAACAATGGACCTTCCAAAGAAAAGGCCTCTTAATATTACCATCCCAACATCTGTTGTGTTTTATGTAGCACCTACGGGGGCCAGGTGCTTATAAATATCTAGATAGATAATCAATCTCACTTTATATCACAAAGACCTTTTGAAGAAAGGCAGGTGCTGAGGAGCAAAATAACTTGCCCAAGGTCACAAAGTAGTAAGTGGCAGGTTTAGATTAACCCAAGGCCTTCCTAATCGAAAAGCCTAATTCCTCAGTCACTCTGCTACCCAATTTTAAAGTAGACCTAGATGGCCGTGTGTGTGTGTGTGTGTGTGTGTGTGTGTTGGGCCTAGGGTTAATACCCAGACCCATCTGAGCATGTCAGGAATGCAGGTTAAAAAGCAACCCTGTTATCCTGTGCTCCCATTTCCAAACATTATATCCTGGCCCCAGACTTCTCATCCAATTGTCAGCCATGTTAAGAGAAGGAAAAGATCTTAATAGGAAAGAACTGTTGAGACTTATGTGTCCTAAACTTGGCTGGTTAAATAGTCTTGATGTAGCCGAGACCGGTTTGGCTCAATGGATAGAGTGTCGGCTTGGGGACTGAAAGGTCCTGGGTTCGATTCCGGTCAAGGGCATGTACCTTGGTTGCGGGCATATCCCCAGTAGGGGGTGTGCAAGAGGCAGCTGATCGATGACTCTCTCTCATCGATGTTTCTAACTATCTTTCTCCCTTCCTCTCTGTACAAAAATCAATAAAATATATTTTAAAAAAATAAAAAATAAAAAATAAAAATAAATAGTCTTGATGTAAGCAATTACTGCTGCTTTGAAGCTTGTTTGACTTTACATTCTCTGCCTGATATATAGGCATGTGTAGCAGGCCTTGAGTTTAATTCCCTAACCAGAGCATTTTCAGAGCTGTTCACCAGAGTTGATACCAAATAAAATATGGCTTAACATTTAGGATTTACCAACATTTTTCTCTTAAAAGACTTATATTCTGCTTCATTTTGGATTTTCATTGTAGTTATTGTTGCATGTTCATTTACTTAATAAGGTTTTTACTAAGGACCTCTTATATGCTCAGTCCTGTGCTTAATGATGTTGGTAAAATGATGATAGTTTGGAATATTAAAAAATATTCCCAATTCTATTTTTTAAAATATATTCTTATGGATTTTGGAGAGAGAGGAAGGGAAAGGGAGAGATGAAATAATCAATGAGAGAGAGACATCAACATCAATCAGCTGCCTCCTACATGCCCCCTCCTAGAGATCAAGCCCACAACCTGAACATGTGCCTTGACCCAGAATTGAACTGGCGATTTCCTGGTACATGGGTCAAAGCTCAATGACTGAGCCACACTCGCCAGGCTCCTAATTCTACTTTAACTTTTAAAAAATCCTCACTTGAGGATATATTTATTGGTTTGAGAGAGAAAGAGGAAGGGAAAGAGTGAGAGAAAGAGAGAGGAACAAACATCAATGTGAGAGAGAAACATCAGTTGGTTGCCTCCTGACTGGGCATCAAACATGAAATCTTAGGTATGAGCTCTGACCAGGAATTGAGCCCTCAACCTTTTGGTGTGCAGGATGACATTCCAACCAATTGAGTTATCCGACCAGGAGGATATTTTATTATAGAGAGAAAAGGATGGGGAGGGAGAGAGAGAAACATCGATTGGTTACCTCCTGTATGTATCCGACCTGGGATTGAACATGTGAGCTTTCAGTATACAGAGACAGCGCTCCAATCAACTGAGCCACATCAGCTAGGGTGCAGCCAGAGCTCTTTTAACTTTTTAATAAAGAACTCCCGTATCAGGCCATATATCCCAACTTTTCGGGGGGAAGAGTGGGAAGGACATTGTTAGGAATTCATGAGAAGATGAAGATACATAGTCCTTGCCCTTAAGGATTTGGCAGTTTTCTTAGAAGCATCATCCCAGTCTTCATGTTAACAAGATAGCACTGCAAATGTCCCTTTCAGTAGTGTAAGTCTCCTAAATGCTATTATAGGATTTCAGAGAGGAGATGACAATAAAAAGAGGCAGTCAGAAGGGGAGATTTCATGGATAGGGTAGAACTTGACTTAGACCTCCATGCACTATGAAGTGGCCTAGACTAGAGAATAAACAATGAGGGGTCAGGCCTGATGGGAGCTGGTGTGTTTAGGACATGAGGGAGAGAGAAGGCTAGCAGGGTCAATTCCAACTATGCTGATGAAAGTCCCTGATGTCAGCCTAAAGAGTGTGGATGTTATTCTGTAAGCAATGAAAAGAAGAGGTGAGCATCAGACTGTCAGGGCTCACAGTCCTGTTACATTAGCCTCCACTGTATGACCCTGGACAAATTACCTGACCTCAATTTCCTTATCTAAAATTAGGGGTGTCGATAATAGCATCCATATTAAAACTGTAGTGAAGTTTAAGGTAAATGCTGTATAAAAGTGTCCATGTTACCTAGCATATATATAGTGTTAATTATAAATTATTTAGTGCATTAGCGTTAGGGAAGGAGTTTAGAAGGATAAGTAGCCATGGAGAAGATAGATTGGAGAGGTAAGAGTCTAAAGAATGAGGAAACTATTTTGGGAGTCTAAGCAAGACATGATATAGGCCTTATCAGGGTTGGCCAAGAGAAGATGGTGAATTTTGGATGCGATGAGGGAAACATGCTGGGTCTCAATGGCTGACCGGAGGCAATGGTTCTCTAGCTAGCTTATTGGGTGTGGGTATTTCAATGCCTGGGCTCAGACCAACTCTTGCAGATCTCATGAGAGTGCTTGGAAGAAAGGGAAAGAAAAGTTGATGTTCTTGCTGTGATCTTTGAGAAACTGGGGATTATAGGTATAAAGGATGACTCTGATGTGTTGGCATTAAGGACATTTCAAAGGTTCCCTACCTCCTTCTATCTGAAATTCTTAGTACAACAGTTTTAGGCATCACGATTATTTAAAAGACCATGATACTAGAAAGGGTAACACTTCTCCTGGCAGTAGAGCTGAAAATGAGCTTCAATAGGCAGAAGAGAAGATAGATGGCCAGAATTGGAGCCCATGGGAAATGGAGAACAGGAGGAGAAACAATTTTAATGTGGGAGTAGGGTTGTGGGGAGGGCATGTCACAAGGGGAGAGGAGCACTAAAAGAGGAAGTGGGAGAATGCTGAAGACACACAAAGCTCATTTCACAGCCCTGCCTCAGAAGCTCCCTTTCTGACATCACCATCGGCACACTTGGCAGCCCTCCGGCTTTAGAGAGCATTTCCCCTATGCTGAATTCAAGCTCCAAGTGCTCACCGCCTTTCATACAAATGTTAGACAAACTGAAGTCACATGCATCGTTAATCCTGTTAGGGCATAATCAGAATCACAGCTGGGAGGAGAGGAAGCATGGGAGTGGAGCCATGTTGTTGGGTAAAATATAATGATGCTGTCTGAGAGAAAAACAGCTTGGCCTTGAACACTTTTACAAACATGAACATCATACTCCTTCCCTCTGGGTAAGAAAGGTTCTGGAAAGCAAACAACTGTCCCCTCCTTCAAGTCCCTCCCTGTGGGAGGTGTTGCCAGCCCAAAGAGTGGCTCTGAACCCTGAGTCCCTTCCAGAGCTGATCCCACCCTGGAGTTAACTCCACCCGAGAAGAGAGCCAAGTGAGGCTTGTCACCTGGTCCAGGGTCCTCCCTGCTCCTGCACGCCCTTCTCCTCCCCCCACTGCTTCTTTAGTCCCTGGAGTCGCTGAAAGCACAGCCTGCTCTTTGGAGTTTGGTGTTGATCTTTCCCTTTTCTTCAGGAAGCCAGGCCTGTGAATATGAGCGGAAGCTGGACATCAGGCAGATCACATAGAAGAAACCAAATGCTGATGGAAGACTCAAAGCTTCTTATAAGTCTTAAAAGGGATGAAATGAAAAAGGGGTGGATACACTGTGTATCAGAGTAGTTCTAAGCCCCAGACGGCCTACACCTGTATGCCAGCAACAGCCTAGAGGCTGAAAATTATTTCTGAAACAGCAGAAGCCTTGGGACCAGGTCCCACAGATCCCACTGCAGCCCTACTACAAAGCCACGGGGCTTCTCTTTGGAATCTGCTTAGAGTTTTCTTTTTATCTCTTTTACATTTTTGTCTTCCAGAGTGGAACACTTAAGGATCCGGACTCGAGCAAGACCCCACCTCAGCGGCCAGCCCCCCAAGGTTGTTTACAGTATATTCTCGACTGTAATGGCATTGCAGTAGGGCCAAAGCAAGTCCAAGCTTCTTAAAGTGATTGGTAGTTAATTTTTCAAAGCAGAAATTTTAAGCCAAAAACAAATAAGGAAAGAAAGGAAAGTGGGGAGGGAAACAACTTACCCTCCCATTGGTGCCATTTCTGCGTTCTTTCAATGCTGACTGGACTGTGTTTTTCCTATGCAGTGTCAGCTCCTCTGTCTGGTTGTTTACCTGTTCCTGTTCGTGCTTGTAATGCTCACTGACGTTTCTCTGTATAACTTGTGATTCCAGGGCTGTTTGTCAACAGTGTACAAAAGAATCGTGCCTCTCCAAAGTCCAGTGTGACTCTACCTTCTGGGTGGTTTGATATATTTTTTAAAGTATTACATAATGTGGGGTGAAATAGGACTAGGGGATGGACAGGAGAGAAACAAAGACCACAAAAATAAAACCCAACTCCACTCCTCCTTCTCTCCTCCTATAACCCCTTCTCCTCCCCAGTCCAGGTTCAGATTAAACCACCTCCACCCCACCCCCTGCTTACCTCCATGAATGTGCTTGGGATCTTCAATGAACTGTGCTTTTCGCTTTCTTTCTGCATGACTAGATAGAAGTTTAAGAGATTTCCAAGGTCTGATTTCCATAGCTTCATCCGTTGAATCTGAAGCCATTCACCTTTTTCTCCATTTGCTAAAATTTGGTGCAGTTTGAGTATATGTGAATATGCTGGCTGTGCCTGTAGAGTTCTTGTGTTTTCAGTGATGACATGAAACAAAGAAGCTATTCTAGGAATGTGGTTTGTAGTTTACATCCCAGTGTACCCTTTGTTTTTATTACTAAATAATTAGCTTTGAGATTAGAAAAAAAAAATGGGGCCGCCGATGTGCAATATCCAGGTGAACTTGTGAGTATTTTCTGTGTTGATTTCAGTCCTCCCAAGTTGTTTCTTCTCTGTTGCTGTTTCTGAATTGGCCATGTGTGTGCTTTTGTAGAACTGAGCTGTTTTGTATTCCCAAAGCTTGATCTATGTACAGAGATGATTCTTTAGCAATTTTAGACATAGAATGCAGGGAGCTACTAAAAGTCTGGGAAGGATTGGGGCCATTCATCTGTTGGCCTCTCCTGAGGCATCATAACATGAGACCAAATTTAAAATGTCCCATTTCACTTGAGTTGGTGCACTGCCTACAGAACTCTGAGTGGACTTCTGCTTTAGTTTTCTGCTGTTATGAGAGCCCTCTGGAGTCTAAAGTATAAAGAGCTTTATCTTTCTAGGGAAAAACTGTCTCATTCAGGTGTTACCTTGTGCATGTTTGGGGCAAAGGCTGCACAGCTGTGGCTCTTGAAGAACCAATTCTCTTTCCTCCAATACTCAGCTCCTGGGCAGTGATGAAGCAGTTAATTAATGCAGGCCTCGGGTTCAGTTCCTCATCTTGCCACCTCCTAGCCAGGCTGGGAATGGGCACCAAGTGGCCTCCTCTAGCATCATGGTTCATGGAAGTTCATGCCAGCAGTTTGCCTTTCAGAAGAAGTGCTTCTTTTACATTCCCTTTCACTTCTATACTGATATGTCACTGTTCTGGATTATCAGGTCTGAGGAATAACTAGTTTGCCAGCAGTTTGCCTTTCAGAAGAAGTGCTACTTTTACATTCCCTTTCACTTCTATACTGATATGTCACTGTTCTGGATTATCAGGTCTGAGGAATAACTAGTGTTGGTGGTATGTAACATGATTTATATGTCAAGGGGCACTGCTCTGGTTTCTCCTTGGGTTGCTGGCAAATTCAGAGGCGACAGGGAAATACACTGAGTGTGAATGTGCTTGTCTCTGATCCCTTCTTTAGATGATGATGGTAATCGATCTGTTGTAAATATATACATAGATGCATTTACACTCTTTCAGGTGAGTTGCCTAAGAATCAGGTCCTTCAGTACCTCCCAATCTGATAAAATGATAGAAAGGAATAAAGCAACATTTCCCTGAATGGAGGAATTTCTTTCTTTCTTTATTATTTTTGTCCAAGTGGTGAGCTGATAGTGATGTTGCTTCTCTGCATGTTCTCAGTGTGAACATCCAGGTGCTTTTCATGTGACATTTGTGAACCACAAACACAAAGTTGCTATTTGAATTCAGTCAGGTTCCAGGGTGGTATCAGCCAAGGTCTCTCAGGTGGGAGAAAAAACTGCCAAACACAAGTAGACAGCGTAACCTGACTGTCATGTGACCTCAGGCAGCATGCTAAGGGACAACTCTATGGCCTGGGGGACATATGCATCGCAGTATAGGATTGCCATTCAGGTGTTTTGTACCCATTTCTTTTCTGATGTCGTCCCCCTTTTTTTTGTACTGACCCAGCGTGAGAACCTCAGCTAATGCTGGAAGTGTGATTGAAGTACCTCTCTTTTGTGACTCTCTTGTACAGCTTAATGTGCAATAAAGGAAAAGTTATATCTGTCTTCAGTGTTAAGTTGTAAAGTTTCTGGCTATTCAAGCATCTCTGTATAAGGTGGGAAAGCTTTCAGATTTCTGGTACAAGATGCTGAGTTATCAACGTGAAATATTTTATAAGAAGGTGTTAATACAAATAATACCAAACTTTTAAAAGGAAAAAACTGGTTAATATGAAATAATCTGCTAACCTGTTCTCTTCGCTAGTTATCTAATTTGAACCTGGGAATTCTTAAACATGAAAATTTTCATTCATTCATTTATATATTTATGTGTAACTAACCCTAATATTAATTGTTAATTGACGATAAAGTGGATAATTGATAATCGGTGATAAATGGGCCAACAGTCATGGGTGCACAATGATATAGACATAGAATTTTGCCTCTCCAGAGGGTACAGGTGTTCTGGTATTTTTAGAAAACTAAGTTACAATACAACTTTTGGCTGCTGTTGAGTTTCTATAAACCACTCCTTCCAGTAGGCCCATGGATGTGGACACTAAAATTTCGACTGAGAAATTGGATCTCTAGGCCAATTATGTATCATTTCTACTAGTCTGTATGTGCTGATGGGACATGTTTTGACTCCTGACTATAGTAACCACCCTCAGAAAAATCAGATTCATTGGTACCACACTTACTGTCTATCAGTCTCCAGAGGAAGGGTGACTTTTTTCTTTCCAGATCACAGATGGTTTTCTCTCTCATGCTGGGAGAAGGGTGTTCTGGTCCTCTTTGAGAGGGTGGAGGTGGGGGAGTCTTCTCTACCAGGTGGTGCCCACAACATCTTCAGAGGAAAATGGGGCTTGGATTTCTGTAGAATTTTACCATATTCACCTGAAGAGGACTGAAGCCCCTGAGGATGCTACTAAAAAGCGAACGGATTACTGGAAACAAAATGTTTATCTTAGTCATGGCCATGAGCTAATACTAAAATGAAGCCCTGGCGGGGTGGGGGGTGGGAATCAGACACATGAAGCCTCAGAGCAGTATGAAGGCGAGTTCCATAAAACAATGTAAGTCAGTGATCGTAAAGCATAGAGTACTTTTTGAAGAACTTTCTCATCTATTACCATCTTTGAAACACTGCCATCTTAAAAGAAAACTACAAGTAGGCCTTATTTTTTTTAAACAGTTTTATGGTTAGAAACACAGAGGCCCAGAAAAGTTTCCTGACTTGCTCAAGGAGTCACTGATATACTATGTTTTGAGTTTTCTGATTCCCAGACCACAGCTCTTTCCACTGCCCTGTACTGTGTCTGCTGTGGGGAACTTGAGACCTCCTAGTAAACCATGAGGAACCTCTGGGGAAGAGAGGTGGGGTCCCTCTGGTCGGCCGGGTCTTCTTTAGAGAGCTCACCTTTGATTGAAGCCACTCATCCCATGGTTTCTTCCCTGTTCCCCGACTTCTGCTGTGTCTGAGGAGCTGTGTCTCTGAGGAAAAGCAAGTAATGGCAATGCATGAGAGTAACCAGGAACTTGCTCTGCAGTCCTTCAGAGCCTCGCTCTGCAGTCCTTCAGAGCTTCTTGATATGGAGCTTATCCTTTCAGTAATTAATCATACTCTTTGAGACATAGATTTTAACAAAAAAAACCTTTGATACAGTTAAATTATGAAGTTTTTCTTGTACTGAACCTAGGGGGCTCTGGGCAACCCCAAGGAATGCAACCCCCAGGCAAGGTGCTGCCTCCACGCCGACTCCCCCGGGGACCATCAGTGCCACCTTCCTCCTCTTCCTCCTCCTCTTCTTCCTCCTCCTCCTCGGCTCCTCAGCTGCCGGGCGGCCCCACCACCCACGGAGATGCACCCTCCAGCAGCAGCTCCCTGGCAGAGGCCCAGCCACCCCCGGCTGCTCCACCACAGAAGCCCCAGCCTCACCCACAGCTCAAGTAAGAGACAACTCAGCAGCTGCTTCCCCGCCCCTCTTCCTGCCCTTCCTCGCAGGCCTTGGGCTCCAGAGGTGCTAGAAAGCACCTTCAGTCAGGCCTCTTCCTCCTCCACAGATATTTTTGTGGGGGGTTTTTTTGGGTTTTGGTTTTGGGTTTTATTTTTTTTTTGGTTTTTGGTTGTGTGTGGGGTTTTTGTTGTTATTGATGATGATGGGGGCCTCTTTAGGGTTGATTGGGGAGGATAGGAAAGAGGGAAGTGAAAGTCTAAAGTCTAGCTAGAAGCTCAAACCCTCCCCTTTCTCACTGGGGAGTGACAATAAGGCAGATATACTACCCCTTCTATTCTTGTACTACCTGAGGGTGTTTTGTTTTTAATCCTATCTCCTACTCTTTTTCCTATTTCCTTCTCTTTCTCTCTCTCTCTCTCTCTCTCTCTCTCTCTCTCTCTCTCTCTCTCTCTCTCTCTCTCTCTTAAAAAAAATCTTCTTTGCTGCCTCTGACTCACAGTTTACGGTATGTAATTAGCAAGGCTGCTCAGAAGGAAAAGAGAGAAGTAGTTAAATCCATTTCAACTTTTTTACTCTGAGCTTTCTCAGAGAGAGTTCAGTTTCTGGTGTGGTCATCTGAGAAGGGTTCAGATAGAGACCCTGAGCAACTGCGTCCTCTGGGGTTCTCTTACTCCCAGGAAAATCTCTAGAAGCCCCCATTACACCGCCCTGCCTCAGAGGAAGAACTGAGAACCCCTAGGAAATAGTACAACTGTATTTGAGAAGAACTGCTCCACCAGTACCTCTCTTCAATTTCCCTAGAAGGTGCTCTGCATCACTGTTAGCACAGACATCCCTTGGGGGATGGTATAGACCCATCTGTGCTTCTCAGAGTAAAATAATGAGAATCTTTAAGGAGGGAAAATAGGGGGCCATAGAATTTTGGAGTTCAAATGAGGCACTTTTAGAGTATGTCTAGCCATCACATAAATGAGAAAACACAGCTCAGAGAGATTCGACTAATTTTCATTTTTAAAGCCACTCTGCTTGTTAGTGGCATAGCCAGAATTAGGAATCAGGGGCTCCAGATGACCACTTTCTCTGGGTTTTCAAATCCGACATGACAGGAGGAACATCACCCGCTCCAGCTCCCCCTGCTCTGGCCAGTGACACATTTCTTATCTCACATGTCCCATGACCTCCCTTCAACCCAGTTTATTTTTGTTTGCTTGTTTGTTTGTTTTTCTGTATGCTGACTTTTTAATCTCTCCTACCTTCTCAGTAGCCAATTTTGACCCCAGTTTGAGGGCAGATTTTTGGGTTATCCACTGCTTAAGTTGTTGAATAACACCACCCTCTGATGAGGAAGGCTTCTACCCAGTCCCTCAACTTGTGTGTGCAAATGAGTCCCCCCTTCCCAGAGGCCAGCATGTTGTGGCTCATCTCTAGCCTAATGAAAAGCAGGACAATTTTCACAGTCACTGCAGGAAGCGAGAAACTGCTCATACTTCTGTAGAATGAAGTTTCTGGGGCTGCACCCTGAATTTAGGGGAGAGCTGGGAGTTTTAAGGCACCAGGAAAAAAGTTCTGGAGACACAAACTGGCAGGAAAGGGACACAGTTGAAATAAAAATAAACAAACAAACAAACAAAAACAAACAAACAAATAAATAAATAAATAACAGAGAGAGAGAGAGAGAGAGAGAGAGAGAGAGAGAGAGAGAGAGAGAGAGAGAAGAAAGAAGATGGGCCACTGGAGACACTAGACTATCCTCTTCCAAAGTTCTGGGCTTAGCCTTCCCTCAGCCTTCTTGAGTTTTTTTCTCTCTCTGAATTGCTAATCTCTCAAGGGATAAATCAGTCCCTAAAATGTGTGTGATTTTTTTTTCCCCTGTAGAAAACTGCCTAACAACCTTGTGTTGGCCTAATGAGTAGAGTTGTCCCTCAGTGTCCATGGGGGATTGGTTCCAGGACCCCCTGCAGATACCAAATTAGAGAATGCTCAAGTTCCTTATGTAAAATTGTGTAGTATTTGCATATAACCTATATCTGCATATAACCTACAGCCAGGTATGCTTTCACATCTTCATTCCTATGGCTTCAGTGTACTGTTCGGCTTACGGCATATTCAAGTTTCCTTTTAAGAATTACTTGGGATTTATTTTTTTCAGATATGTTTGGTACCCAGTTGGTTAAATCTGTGAATGTGGAGGGCTGACTGTGTCTCTTGCTCCTGGACACCCGGAGCCTCACAGACCTTATAATAGCGTTCCTCTGAGGAAGGCTGCAAAGAGTGATTACATTCACTTTAATGCTCAAGGCAAATTGAGCACTAGAGTTCGTACCAAGCCAAAAGGTTTTGTTGGAATCAAAGAAAAAAGCAGAATATAAAAAGCTCTAAAAAGACCTAGAGATTATTTTACCAAACAACTACAGACCACAAATAAAAACCAAATACCAGAGAGGCAGTGGCTTGCCTAAGGTCAAGAGTAAGTGAGTGGCAGAATCAAAACTGACTCAGTTCTTCTGATGCTGACTCCACACTACTTGACAATTCATGGAAAAGAGAGTGCAAGAGTCCATGGGTCCCTAGTTGTTACATCTCATCAGAGGTGAAGGGTGTGAGTCCTAGATTAGTACTTACCAAGTTGAGGTCTCGGAAATTTAGTCTGCTGGCTCTTTAGCATTAAATAAAAGAAACACCCTTTGAGTCACCCCATCTTCCTCTTTCCCTTTTCTCTCTTTTTCCCCTTCTTCCTTTTCCTCTTCCTTCCTCTCTCCCTCACTGCCCCCAACCTTTCCTGTTTTAGCAGCAGTGAAGGTGAAGAAAATAGCACAGGAGCCTTCCAGGATTGTGGCAGCACAATCCCTACTGGCTTTCTATCACTGTGGGCTCCCTTGGGTGGGAGTGGGGGTTCCAGTTGTGTATCCTCATGTGATCGTCCTTTCCTAACTTGCTGGGAACACCACCCTCTCACATTCTCTCTGGTTTTTATCTTCAAGCAAGTCGCAGTCCCTGACAAATGCCTTCAGCTTCTCTGAGTCCTCCTTCTTCCGGTCTTCAACCAATGAGGATGAAGCCAAAGCAGAGACCATCAGGAGCTTGAGGAAGTCCTTTGCCAGCCTCTTTTCAGATTAGCTCTTCAGACACGTGGGCACCTGGCCTAACCGGGAAAGGCATCTGAGACATTTGCCAACAACAGTCAGCCACGTTTTGTAGTGATGTCCCATGACCTTGACTTGTGTGGCCCCTTCCTCTGCCCCATTGTGCTAAGTGATGTGCAGCTTCTGAAAAGATCATCAGAAGGTCTTAGGGCAGGTGCCTAATCAGCGAGGGGCACCTGACATCAGAGAGAATAGAGCTGCTTTTCTGTAGTTACGAGTGCATTCTCTGAGGTCATCGTTTGGTGTGAGCTTAGTGGCCTTATTGTGACAGCGCCATCATGTCTTATTCTTCCTTGTGAAACCAGGACTCCCTTCATTGAGGACTCCTGGTAGCTTAACCTAACTCAGATGCAGTGCTAAGCATGCCCCCTCTCCTTTAGTCAGTGCTGCCTATGTGGGGAGTATATACTTAATCCAAAATATTCTTGGTGTTAGGAACTTACCCACACCTGGATCCCTTGTCAGACACACCTGATTAGCTGTTGAAAACACACCTGCCCAGCACATGAGATTCCTTGGCTGCTGTCATAGTGAAGCACCTTTAGTCTACTGATACTGGAGAGAACAAGGATCTGAAGTTTTCCCCTTCCCCTCTCTGGAGTGCAGTTCTTTTGTGTGTGCTGCAGTGATCTTGAGCTCCGAAGCTGCACTGTGGAGAATGCATGACACTGTAACAGCAGTATATCAAGTTTTGTGTTCATCTCAAAATAAATGTTAAGACATTTGGTATAATAAAAACAGCAGCATTAACCAGCATTTGATTCAGCCATGAGGTCTCCCCTAAGCTACCCTTTTGACTGAGTGTATGTGAGGCATGTGTGCATTTTTGGGAGTGCAGAGAAGGGAAAAATCTAGGAGAGTGATACTGTTTGTGTTATTATGTGTGATTGTGCTTCTGTGTGAATGTGATTGTGAGTGTACAACTATTTCCAATTGAATGAAAGTATGGCTGTCCTTTAGATGACACTTATGCTGGGCTTCCTGACACCTCTCCAGTGGTTTCATTTCCTCCAGGACATCTGTACTTCCTTCAGTAACTCAGGATTTCTACCAATTTTACTGAATATTAAGACTTTCTTATAAGCATAGCATCCTTGCCCCCATAGCAGGCAAGTTAGACCTACTTGTTTGGTGTATCAAGCTTCTCAGCTGAAGCCAACATGATGGTACCAATGCGGCTGGACTGACCTACCCTGGTGAAGGGGATCCCACAAGCCCCAGGCATCCTGAAGGGGCCTGTGATGGAGGGTGGGCTTCTGGGGGTTTTCACTCCAGCTTCTTCATGTCTCTGGTACTCAAGAGTATGTTCTCCCAAAACACAAATGCTGTGAGGATGTATCACATCTGCATTGATAAAAAGAAATTAGTATATTGACATTTTATCGAAATAATTTCCTACACGTGATACCCATTCTACTAACTCAACAAAACACTCATCCAAATGCCACTATCATGCTAACTCTCCTTAGAGTAAATGCTGAGAGGTCAAAGAATGAATTTCTCTGGTGCCAGGGTCTCCTTTCCAACTTAACCATGCTTTCAGAGTTTAAGGATCTAGATCTTTACCTTTTTCTTACACTTAAAAAGCAGAAAGTAGAACCTCCCATTAAATGACATCTCTCTGAATGGCAGCTTTCCTCCAACACAACACATATAACTAGGAACAAAATACAAACCAAACAAAAGGGTGGTGGTGGGGAGGGATTAGGGAATACCTATGTTCAAGGGAATTGATCTTTATGGTTTTTTTCTATTTCCAACCAAGAGTCTAGTACTTGTAGTCACTTCTATCCCCCTGATTCCCAATATGTCTTAATAGAATTCATTTAGTTAAAAAGCATTTACTGAGTATTTAATATAAGTATAAACATTGTGATAAATTCAAGGAAATATTTACTAACATTTCCATAGTGCTACTAAGTTCCAGGCAGAATTCTAAGCACTTATCAAATTATTTATTCTTTATAACAAACCTGTATTATAAGTACTACTATTATTTTACAAATGAGAAAATGGAAGCATCAATTTAATAACTTGCTCACGTTCACCCAACTGGTTTGTGGTAGAGCTGGAATTTGAACCCAAGCAGTGTAGCAGTGGTGCTCATGGCCTTGACTACTTAGCTATATTTCTTTTAATTAATCTAGCAGAGGGAACAAGATGTAATTGTATCAAATTGTACATAACGTGGCAACAAAATAAGAGATGTACACACACTTTTTCACACTTCCTTCACCTATCCCTTGACCTCAGGGAAAGAAAAGATGGGAGAAGGTTGAAGTGCTTGTTACTAGTGTTGACCCCTTATCCTAGAATGATGAGTAACACACACAGTGTATCTTATTGTGATCGAATATAATTCTGGTTCTTGAAAAATTACTCATTCTTCCACATTTAATGTCAGACCAAAAACCACAAGTGCCTTATTTAGAAAATGAGTCAACCCTGGAACTGCTGGGGTGACAAAAAGGGGAGGGATTTACCATAGATCATGTGGCACCCTAGTCCAAAGGACATGTGGATTCTATCCAACCCTTAGTTATGGGGTGGGGATAGAGGTGGGGGAGTTCCATTCAGAAATAGCCCTCTTGATACACAATGGTCTTAGAGACTGGGAAATTTGCCACTCACAAAAAGCAATAAATATTTGATGAATACCATGATAAAAAAAAACAAACCTGATCTAAAACGGGGATCTCCAAGGGTTGATGACTGTCCATTATATATCTTGAAACCTTAAGTCTATAGGTCAATTGTGACCACTGTGCAATCATCTCTATAACTGATGGGGATTCCTTACCCATATCTTCATCCCAGATTAATAGAAAAAGAACACTTCATCCCTGTCCTTATGAAACTCTCCATCTCCCCAATCAAGATGAATTAGTAGCGCTAGCTGACTTGGCTCAGTGGATAGAGCGTTGGCCCACAGACTGAAGGGTCATAGGTTCAATTCTGGTCAAGGGTTGATCCCCAGGCCCAGTTGAGTTGCTGTCTGTCTATCCCTGTCCCGTCCACTCTTTCTAAAAATCAATGGAAAAATACCTTGGGTGAGGATTAACAACAACAAAAGATTAATTAATTCTGCTCATCATTTATTTGTTCACAACTCTTTATTGTGTTCTTACTAAGTTCAATAAATTCTGTGGGAAGAATATGAAAATGAGTTAAGCAAGGATTCTGCCCTTGCAAAATTTTATAGCCCAGAAAAGGGGTATATATTAACAAATATTAAGAAGAAAGTGGTAAGCACCATACAATGAATGCAGTCAAAATAATACTTTTGGGGGAAAAATTACGGTTGATAAGTATTGGTGAAGATACGGGTAACGGAACTCTTACACATTGCAAATGGGAACACACATGTTGGTGCTACCACTTCAGGGAACAATTTGGCAATATCCTATGCACAAACTTTATGACTCAGCAATTTCATTTCTAAACATTCACTCTAGAGAATCTCTTGCACTTGTACTCAAGGAGGCAACTAAAATAATTGGTCTCAGCATCATTGGTGAAAAATGGAAACAACCACTGTCTCTCAAGTGGGGAATTAAAACATAAATTGGTTTATTCATAAATTGGAACATTACATAGGAGTTAAATAAAAAATATTTGAGGAATTCAGAAAATATATGAAGGAGAAAAAAAAATGATGAGCCAAATAGGTGTAAAATGGCCAACAAGCAAGTACATGTTATTGGTGTCAAGCTGGGGTGGTCAAAGAAGACAGCACCCTAGAGGTGAGCTGTGAGCAACCCACAGCATAGGGAGGCATGCCAGCTAGGGAGGATGGGATGAGTGCACAAAATCCAGTCATTGAATTTTTCAGTTCAAAATTTCATCTACTTTTATCCTCTCATTTTACAGATGTGAAAACCAAGGCCCAGGCAACTTAAGGAGCTTGTCATGTCATGAAGAAAGTTAGTAGTAGAAGCAAATGAGTCTCAGTCCTAGATGGGCCATTCGGGGCACTGTCCCTTGTGAGGTAAATGTATTGGTTTCATTTCCAGGGAGGGAGAGGCTTACAAGAACATTTCACAGAGGCCAGGGAAGAAATGGGAAGAGATAATATTGGGCAGTGGAAGGAGCCTAGGCTCTGAAATCAAATTTGAGTTTAAATCCTGGCTTTGCTAATTATTAGCTAATTGACTTTAATTATAAGTCATTTAGCTTTTCTTGGTCTTGATTTCCTCATCTGTAAATGAGAACATTACTAACTTTCTGAGGAGGTTTTCTAAAGATTTTAATGAGTTAATTTATCTCAAGTCTGATGCTAACAGTGATTGGCATGTGAGAGGATCATAAAAAAATCCTCTCTGTCTCATGGAAAGAACACCAGAGTAATCCCTAAAGCCCTTTTGGCTAGGACTCTTCCAGGAGCAGCTAAAGAATGGCCAAGCTTGCCTTTCCTCATCTCCTGTATCCAGGGAGGCTCTAGGGCAATTTCAGCTGAACTGAGTAATGCCTTTTCCTAGGGCAGTGGTCGGCAAACTTATTAGTCAGCAGAGCCAAATATCAAAAGTACAACGATTGAAGTTTCTTTTGAGAGCCAAATTTTTTAAACTTAAACTTCTTCTAATGCCACTTCTTCAAAATAGACTCGCCCAGGCCACGGTATTTTGTGGAAGAGCCACACTCAAGGGGCCAAAGAGCCACATGTGGCTTGTGGGCTGCAGTTTGACGCTGACCACAGTACTAGGGTTATGATTCTTTTGAGTTGTTTAAATTGAGTTGAGAGTAAACACCTGGGGAGACAAATGCTGCTGCCTAAGCATCCTACTAGTAATGAGGAATGTGTGTGTGCGCACACCTGTGTGTACATGAGTATATACACACACACACACACACACCCCAAAACCACTACAGCCATAGAGATGACAGCACAAACCTATATGACTCTAATGGATTAATTTTTAATTGTTCATACCATATGATCATTCCTACAGTTGTGTGTGGTTTCCTTTAAATAAT